AGGAGGGCGTGGCTGTGGAGCCCGGGGCCACTGTTGTGATGGCTATAGTGGTCGGCTCTGTGAGGATCAAGGTCGTCCCTGGAGTGGAGGAGGGCGTGGCTGTGGAGCCCATGGTCACTGTTGTGATGGCTGTAGTGGTCAGCTCTGTGAGGATTGAGGTCTTCCCTGGAGTGGAGGAGGGCGTGGCTGTGGACTTCGTGGCCACTGTTGTGACGGTTGTAGTGGTTGGCTCTGTGAGGATCCCGGTCGTCCCCGGAGTGGAGGAGGGCGTGGCCGTGGAGCCCATGGTCACTGTTGTGATGGCTGTAGTGGTCGGCTCTGTGAGGATCCAGGTTGACGCTGGAGTGGAGGAGGGCATGGCTGTGGAGCTGGTGGCCACATGTTGTGATGGTTGTAGTGGTTGGCTCTGTGAGGATCCTGGTCGTCCCCGGAGTGGAGGTGGGCGTGGCTGTGGAGCCCGTGGCCACTGTTGTGATGGCTGTACTGGTGGGCTCTGTGAGGATCCCAGTCGTCCCCAGAGTAGGAGGCGTGGCCGTGGAGCCCGTGGCCACTGTTGTGATGGCTGTAGTGGTTGGCTCTGTGAGGATCGAGGTCATCCCCAGAGTGGAGGAAGGCGTGGCCGTGGACCTCGTGGCCACTGTTGCGATGGTTGTAGTGGTTGGCTCTGTGAGGATCCCGGTCATCCCCGGAGTGGAGGTGGGCGTGGCCGTGGAGCCCATGGCCACTGTTGTGATGGCTGTAGTGGTGGGCTCTGTGAGGATCCCAGTCGTCCCCAGAGTAGGAGGCATGGCCGTGGAGCCCGTGGCCACTGTTGTGATGGCTGTAGTGGTTGGCTCTGTGAGGATTGAGGTCATCCCTGGAGTGGAGGAGGGGATGGCCGTGGAGCCCGTGGCCACAGTTATGGTGGCAGTGGTGGTTGGCTCTGCGAGGATCCCAGTCGTCCCCGGAGTGGAGGAGGGCGTGGCTGTGGAGCCCGGGGCCACTGTTGTGATGGCTATAGTGGTCGGCTCTGTGAGGATCAAGGTCGTCCCTGGAGTGGAGGAGGGCATGGCTGTGGAGCTGGTGGCCACAGTTATGGTGGCAGTGGTGGTTGCCTCTGTGAGGATCTCGGTCGTCTCTGGAGTGGAGGAGGGTGTGGCGGTGGACCCCGTGGCCACTGTTGTGATGGCTGTAGTGGTCGGCTCTGTGAGGATGGAGGTCATCCCTGGAGTGGAGGAGGGGATGGCCGTGGAGCCAGTGGCCACAGTTATGGTGGCAGTGGTGGTTGGCTCTGTGACGATCCTGGCCGTCCTCGGAGTGAAGGGGGGTGTGGCCGTGGAGCCCGTGGCCACTGTTGTAATGGCTGTAGTGGTCGGCTCTGTGAGGATTGAGGTCATCCCTGGAGTGGAGGAGGGCATGGCTGTGGAGCTGGTGGTCACAGTTATGGTGGCAGTGTTGGTTGGTTCTGTGAGGCTCCCGGTCGTCCCCTGAGTGGAGGAAGGCGTGGCCATGGAGCCCGTGGCCACTGTTGTGATGGCTGTAGTGGTCGGCTCTGTGAGAATCCAGGTTGATGCTGGAGTGGAAGAGGGCGTGGCCTTGGAGCCAGTGGCCACAGTTATGGTGGCAGTGGTGGTTGGCTCTGTGAGGATCCAGGTGGTTCCTGGGGTGGAGGAGGGGTTGGCCGTGGAGCCAGTGGCTGCAGTCATTGCGGTTGTGGTGGGAAAAACTTCAGTGATTTGAGTAGTCCCTGGAGTAGAGGAGGGGATGGCTGTGGAGCCCGTGACCACTGTTGTGATGGCTGTAGTGGTTGGCTCTGTGAGGATCCAGGTGGTCCCCGGAGTGGAGGAGGGGATGGTCGTGGAGCCCGTGGCCACTGTTGTGATGGCTGTAGTGGTTGGCTCTGTGAGAATCCAGGTTGACCCCAGAGTGGAGGAGGGCGTGGCCGTGGAGCTGGTGGCCGGGGTGCTGGGGCAGTGGCCGTAGTTGCAGCAGAACACACGGATTTCATAGTTGAAGCACATCTTGAACTTCCCCACCTGCTGACGGTTCCTGCAGACCAAGCCGAAGCCCAGGCTGCATTCCACGACCTGGCCCAACTCCCGCAGGGGGACACCAGGCTGGGCCTGGGCGCGGCACTCGAGGCCAAGGGGCTGCTCACAGACGGCCCCTCCAGCCGCGCGGATGTTGGAGTAGGTCTCCAAGTCCCCGCCAGAGGGCCCCGACGTGGGGTAGCTGTAGTCCAGCCAGTCTGACCAGGCACACTGGGGCTCACAGCCCGTGGACACCACCGGGGTTGTGGGGGCTGCTGTGGGGCTGCTGGGAAGCAGGGTCGAGGTGCGGGTCTTGCTGGTTGTGGCCGTGGCCGTGGTCCTGGAGGTGGCCGTGGTGAGGCCCGGGGTGGTCTTCCCTGGAGAAGGGGGTGACTCAGTGGTTCTGCTGTGAGTGTGAGGGCTGGACAGGGCTGGAGTCGAGTGTGGGGTGGTACCAGTGGTTCCTACTGGGGTGTGGGAAGTCACCATGGATGACTCTGTGATGTGGGTGGTGCCCGAGGTGGCCATGGAAGTCCGGGCTGTGGGTACCGTGCGGGGACTCTCGGGGAGCTGGGATCGCCCATGTGTGGTGGCCGTGGTGGACAGCACTGGGGGTGTATAGGTGGTCCCTAGGGCAGAGGAGGGAGCCACTGTGGTGCTGGTAGCTGCAGGTGTGGTGGCCATGGTGGTCAGCACTGGAGAGATGGGAGTTGTCCCTGGAGTGGAGGAGGGGGTGGTGGTGGAGCCTGTGGCCGTGATTGTCGTGCCCGTGGTGGCCAGTGCTGGGGCTGTACCAGTGGTCTGTGGGCTAGAGGAGGGTGTTGCCATGGAGCCAGTGGCCACAGTTATGGTGGTGTTGGTCAGCACTGTGGGGGTGTGGGTGGTCCCTGGGATGGAGGAGGGGGTCACTGTGTAGCCGCTGGTTGTGGGTGTGGTGGTTGTGGTAAGTGCCGTAAGGGTGCTTGCAGTCCCTGGGCTGGAGGAGGGGGTGGCCGTGGAGCTTGTGGTGATGGCCATGGTGGTCAGCACTTTAGAGGTGTGAGCTGTTCCTGAGGTGAGGAGGGTGGCCGTGGAGCCAGTGGCCTGGGTTGTGGTGGCCGTGGTGGTTAGCGTTGTGGAGGTGTGGGAGGTCCTTGGAGTGGAGGAGGCGTGGGCTGTGGACAGGGTGGCCGTTGGTGCGGTGGTCTGTGCTGTGAGGTTCCAAGTGGTCCTGGGGGAGGAGGACGGGATGGCTGTAAAGCTGGTAGCTGTGGGTGTGGTGGCTGTGCTTGTCAGCACAACTGGAAGGGTGGATGCAGTCCCTGGACTGGTGGAGGGAGTGGCTTTGGAGCCAGTGGCTGTGGTTTTCGTGGCCATGGTGGTCGGCAATTCTGAGGTGGCAGCAGTTGCTGTGGAGCCAGTGGCCACAGTCGTGGTCAACGTTGTGGTTGGTTCTGTGAGGATCCAGGTGGTCCCAGGAGTGGAGGAGGAGGTGGCTGTGGAGCCGGTGGTCCCTGGGGTGGAGGAGGGGTTGGCCGTGGAGCCAGTGGCTTCAGTTGTTGCAGTTGTGGTGGGAAACACTTTGGTGATTTGAGTAGTCCCTGGGGTGGAGGAAGGGATGGCAGTGGAGCCCGTGGCCACTGTTGTGATGGCTGTAGTGGTTGGCTCTGTGAGGATCCAGGTGGTCCCCGGAGTGGAGGAAGGGATGGCAGTGGAGCCCGTGGCCACTGTTGTGATGGCTGTAGTGGTTGGCTCTGTGAGGATCCAGGTGGTCCCCGGAGTGGAGGAGGGCGTGGCCGTGGAGCTGGTGGCCGGGGTGCTGGGGCAGCGGCCGTAGTTGCAGCAGAACACACGGATTTCATAGTTGAAGCACATCTTGAACTTCCCCACCTGCTGACGGTTCTTGCAGACCAAGCCGAAGTCCAGGCTGCATTCCACGACCTGGCCCAACTCCCGCAGGGGGACACCAGGCTGGGCCTGGGCGCGGCACTCGAGGCCCAGGGGCTGCTCACAGACGGCCCCTCCAGCCGCGCGGATGTTGGAGTAGGTCTCCAAGTCCCCGCCAGAGGGCCCCGACATGGGGTAGCTGTAGTCCAGCCAGTCTGACCAGGCACACTGGGGCTCACAGCCCGTGGACACCACCGGGGTTGTGGGGGCTGCTGTGGGGCTGCTGGGCAGCAGGGTCGAGGTGCGGGTCTCACTGGTTGTGGCTGTGGTGAGGCCCAGGGTGGTCTTCCCTGGAGAAGGGGGTGACTCAGTGGTTCTGCTGTGAGTGTGAGGGCTGGACAGGGCTGGAGTCGAGTGTGGGGTGGTACCGGTGGTTCCTACTGGGGTGTGGGAAGTCACCGTGGATGACTCTGTGATGTGGGTGGTGCCAGAGGTGGCCATGGAAGTCCGGGCTGTGGGTACCGTGCGGGGACTCTCGGGGAGCTGGGATCGCCCATGTGTGGTGGCCGTGGTGGACAGCACTGGGGGTGTATGGGTGGTCCCTAGGGCAGAGGAGGGAGCCACTGTGGTGCTGGTGGCTGTAGGTGTGGTGGCCATGGTGGTCAGCACTGGAGAGATGGGAGTTGTCCCTGGAGTGGAGGAGGGGGTGGCTGTGGAGCTGGTGGCCTGGGTTGTGATGGCTGTGGTGGTCAGCACTTTCACAGTGTGAGCTGTTCCTGGGGTGGAGGAGCGCCTGGCTGTGGCACCTGTGCTCCTGGGTGTGGCAGCCGTGGAACCGGTGCTCATGGGTACGGTAACTGTGGATCCAGTGCTCGTGGGAGTGGTAGCCGTGGATCCAGTGCTCATGGGAGTGGTAGCTATGGATCCGGTGCTCGTGGGAGTGGTAGCCATGGATCCAGTGCTCCTGGGTGTGGCAGCCGTGGAACCGGTGCTCATGGGTACGGTAACTGTGGATCCAGTGCTCGTGGGAGTGGTAGCCGTGGATCCAGTGCTCATGGGAGTGGTAGCTATGGATCCGGTGCTCGTGGGAGTGGTAGCCGTGGATCCAGTGCTCATGGGAGTGGTAGCCATGGATCCAGTGCTCGTGGGAGTGGTGGCACAGTGGCTGTCATCACAGCACAACAGCCGCACATGGAAGTTGTGGCAGTACCACAGGGGCCCAGACTGGTCACGGTTCCTACACACCAGCCCAATGCTCACGTCACACTGTACCACCTGCCCCAGGGCCTCCAGGGGTTGGTTGGGCTCCTTCTCAGAGCGGCACTCAATGTCCCATGGATGCTCGCAGAAGGTATGGCCAGCAGAGCGGATGACCCCAAAGGTCTCAAAGTCCCCGCCATCAGGGTCAGAGCTGGGGTAGTCCTCATCAAACCAGTCTGTCCAGGTGCAGCGAGGCACACAGCCTGTGCTGGGAGACGGGGGGCCAGAGGGCAGGGTTGTCCTGATGGTGGGCCCAGAGCTGGAAGTCTGCAGGGTTGTGTGCACACGGGTGGTCACCATGGGGGACGTTGTGGGGGTGCTGGTCACAATTGGACTGGTGGGCATGGATGGAGCCTGGGAGGTCTGCTGCCCCCTGGTAGGGAGGAGGCTGGCGGTGGAAGGTGGAGGGGCAGAGGGACTGGGGAGAGACACCCTCTCTGTGGTCTTGGAGAAGCTGGGGCCAATTTGAGTGGTGGTCAGAGTGGAGGATCCTGTTACTGCTGGTGACTTCGTGCTCCAGGTTGCAATGGCTGTGGAGGCAGTCACTGTGGGGCTGGTGGCCCCCATGGAGGTAAGTCTGGGTGCCTGTGTGGAGGAGGTGGGCGTGGGGGCGGCTGTGTGGGGGCAGTGGCTGTAGTCGTCACAGCACAGCACACGCACATTGTAGTTGAAGCACATGTTGAACCTGCCTGTCTGGTCCTCATTCTTGCAGATCAGCCCCGTCTCCAGGCTGCAGGTCAGCACCTGCCCGATCTGGTCAATGCTTACCTCGGGGTAGTTCTCCGCCCGGCACTCTATGCTCTTTGGTGCCCAGCACATCTTGCCGCCAGCAGCCCTGATGTTTTCAAAAGTTTCCATGTCCCCGCCTGCGACCCCTGAGGTTGGGAAGTCCACATCAAACCACTCTGTCCACTCACACTTCGGTTGACAGCGGGTAGTGCTCTGGCTAGTGGTGGTCTCAGTCAAGCGGCTCAGTGTCGTCTCTGTCCTGGGGGTGCTGGTCTTGGCCTGAGAGGTGAACAGTTCGCTCGAGAGTGTCGGCGCCAGGCTCGTGGTCAGCGGCTGTTTGGAGCTGGAGCTGGTTGTGCCTGTCAGGTGAGCTCTGGAGGTTGCCATTGTCGTTGGGGCTGGCGTGGGTGGCTGTGAGGGATGCCATGTGCCCGAACTCCCCGTGGTCCCTGGCAGGACTGAGCGTGTTGGAATGCTGGATGTGGCCACCCCTGGGACAGTGGGTTCTGTGGAGCCTGCAGGAACCGTGGGGCCTCCTGTGGTGGCTGTACCAAGGGTGCCCGTGTATCTGGGGGATGTCAGTCCTTTTGAGAGGGTGGGGACTGCTGTGGTGCTGGTCACCCCCAGGCTACTCGTTGACTGCAGCGTTGAGAACAGGACCTGGGTGCTGGTGGTGGTGGTGGTGGCTGTCTCCAGCGATGTGGCCGGTGGTGGGGTCGTGGCTCGTCCCCCGCAGTGGTCGGCACTGCAGCACAGGACCCGGATCCTGTAGTTGTAGCACATCTTGAATATGCCCTCCTGCTCCCAGTTCCTGCACACCAGGCCGAAGCGGACGTCACAGTGCACCTTCTGCCCCACCTGAGCCAGGGGCCAGTTGGGGAAGCTCTCGGCCTGGCACTCTATGTCCTTAGGCTGCTCACATAAGTGCCCTCCTGCAGCCCTGATCTTATCGTAGGACTCAATGTCCCCTCCAAGTTGTTCAGACTTGGGGTAGTCCTCATCAAACCACTCTGTCCACTGACACCGGGGCTGGCAGGTGGTGGTACCTGGGGCCAGGGAGGTGACCGTCGTGGGGCCTGAGCTGGACCCAGTCTGTGAGGTGAGGGCCGCTGTTGACTGGATGCTCGGGATCACCCACAGGGTGGTCTTTTCGGTTGCTGTGGTCTGGGTAGGGGTAGGCACAGCAGGCTCCGTGCTGGCACTGAGGGAGGGCTGGGGGCTGGTGCCTGGGGCCAGGGAGGGGCCACAGGGCACGTATTCACAGCAGAGAACCCGCAGCTCATAGTCGTGACAGAGCGGGGGGCTCTGCTGGCTGTTGGCGCACATCAGCCCCCTCACGCGGTCACAGTCCACCTGCTGGCCCAGCTCTCCCAGTGACATGTCGGGAAGCTGCCCTGCCCGGCACTCGATGTCGGCTGGCACAGGGCACACCTGGTACCCTCTCTGCCTCAGGTTTTCAAACGTCTCAAAGTCTCCGCCTCCCAGACCAGGCTCTGGGTGGTGCCCATTGTACCAGCTGGACCAGCGGCAGACCTCTCGGACACACACAGTGGAGACTGGGAGGGCCGGGCCTGCAAGGGGTGTGGGAGAGGGGTCCTGGCTCAGCATCCTCCAGTCCTGGCCTCACAAGGTGGAGGGGCCCCAGAGGACCCTTGTCCCAGGGCTGGCCCTGCCCCTGTGGGATACTGGGGACCCCAGGTGCCTGCCTTAGCCTTGGTTAGAGCCATTTCTATATGAGGGACTGGAGCCTGGCAGCCTGGCCTTGAGGGAGCCGGCCAGCTGGGATATGCCATGCTGAGGGATGGGACGGAGTCTGGGAAAGCTTTACTGCCCCCCTGGGTTATCCCATCAATCATCGTGCAGAGGCTTCCTGGGGAGCCCCTGGAGACACGCAGGGTGTTGGGGGGGCTGTGCACCCCTAGACAGTGCTCAGCAGGTCAGTGGATTGGGACTGTTGCTACCATTCAGGGCACCTGCATTAAGAGCCCAGGGGTTCCCTCCTTGTCACCCAGACATGACCGGGCCTCAGGAGAGCCAGGCAGGGCTTACTTGTCGTGGAGTGGGGGACCCAGCTAGTGGTGAAGGTGAATGGCGTTGTGGCCGGAGTTCCAGGACACGCCACAGCCTTCCTGACGATGGTGCCGTTGCTTCCACAGATGGCAATCAAACAGGCACCAAGCCCATCGGTGGTGTTGTAGATGACGTCCTGGTAGCCATAGGTCCTGTCCTCATAGGTGCAGGTGCAGGCTGGGGATGGACCCGGCAGAGTCACTCAGTGCCTTCGAGCCCCTGGCCCCGGCCCTCACCACTCCCCCACCCCCCTGGCCCTTCCTTACCCTCAAGGCTGTGAGCGCACTGGATGCCACTGGGCGTGCAGTTACTGGGGGTGGGGGAGAGGTGAGCTGAGGGCCTGGGGGGCAGCCTGAGGGGCCTGCTCCCCAGCCCTGCACCCCCAGCGCCGCCCGCTCCCCACCCCCTCACCAGCTCTGGCAGTTCTCCGCTGTGGGGACTCTTGCGCCAACGTCATAGTAGTTTCCATCCCTGTCGTAGCAGCCACACTGGGCCACGCACTTCATCTGGTCCTCATTGAAGAAGGGCTGGCTGGGTGGGCACTTCGGGTAGCAGCCTAGGGCCGGCAGAGTGAGCAGAAGACTCACCAGGGCCCTTAGGTCTCTCCAGCCAGGGGCGCCATGCTGTAGGGAGTAGCCGCCCCCTACCAGCCAGCAGGGGCCTGCCCCCAAGGCTTGCATTGTGCAGTTTAAGGGAGCCTACGCCACGTCCCTGGGGAACCCCGGCCCCCCACGTACACTCAGGAACCCAAGGATAGGAGGCTCCATCCAAGAAAGGCTCCCCCTCACCTTCCAGGCCAGGCAGGTCCACCAGGCAGTGCCCACTGGGGTTCCGGCAGGTTTTTAGGCAGGGTGCCCCACAGGGCTGGTAGTGCCACTCACAGCCCCCGTGTGGGTTGTAGAAGTCACAGAACAAAGCTGGGGCACAGAGGGCGGAGGCTAAGGAGGCGCCCACCGGCCCTCACCCTTGTTGTGAAGGGCAGCCCCCACCCCGGGTGTGGGGGCCAGTGTCCCCAGGGCCAGACCCAGGCTTGTCCCTGACATGCAGGGTCTTGGGCCAGTTGGTGCCTCACCTTCCCCTCACTCCCCAGCCCTGCCCTTGGAACTCCTGTCCCCCAGGAGCCATCTCGTGCTGGGGTGACCTGTCTGGTGGTTTTGCACAGGTCTGTCTCTGTGTATAGGAACGTGTGCACTCACATGGAGGCACATGCGTGTTGGATGTCTGTGTGCGGCTCAGGCCCAGGTCAATGCACCTACAGAGGCTGCCACACCTCCTCCCCTGCCCCGGCTGCTCCACCCTTCAGCACCACGGACAGAGCCCGACTCACGGCAGGTGTCTGGAGTCCGCCAGGACACACACAGGCCCGCGTCGTGGCAAGCCTGGGCGTAGGCAGCCACAGCCGTGCAGAAACACTCGCAGTCACCACCCGAGTCACAGGCACACGCGTCGTTCACGCAGGCCTCGTAGTACTTGGTGGAGTCAACCTGGGGGTGAGGCCAAGGTGCAGCTCAGCTGGGCCAAGGTCCCCCCCGGCCAGGGGGCGGCTGGCCCAGGGCCAGTTGCTGGAACCATTTGTATTTCAACACCCCCCATGGCAGCTCTCTGAGCTCCCTGACTCCTGGGTCCTGGAATACCTGAGCATGCCCCAAATAGGAGCTGCCCCAGCACCACTTCTCCAGCCCACCTGTGCCCTTTTCCAGCTATATCCCTGCCCACCTGCCCAACTGTACACCTGCCCACCTATGCACCTGCCCATATGCCCACCTGTCCACCTGCCCACCTGCCCACCTGTCCACCTGCCCACATGCCCACCTGTGCACCTGCCCATATGCCCACCTGTGCACCTGTCCATCTGCCTGCCTTCACATGTGCTCTTTGGATCTTTCTATCATGTGGATCTGGTCATGTGGCCCACAGGTTTCAAACCCACGTGGAGGATAGCACCCCTGCTCACCCTCTGCCCTCACCCCCACCTCCCTCCGCTACAGTTGTACTGGCCTCCTTTCCACCTGGGGGCCTTCCCTCCAGCTGACCCAACCCCGTGGTGATCCCCGCCCAGGGCCCTCCAAGTCTGAGCATCCAACCACCCAGCGCCCACCACGCTGCTGTCTCCTCTGGAAGCTCTGTGAGGGTCGGCCTTGTCCCCTGGGGTGATGAGGGGTCACTGGGGTGAGCCCAGAACATGCCAGGCTCTTCCAGGCACCCAGTGAATGTGCACTAAGGAAGGAGCGGTCACTTCCTTTCCAGACCAGCCACGTAGGGAGCTGAGCTGTGAACCTGTCCTGACCATTGGGAGCTGCCTGCTTCCTTGAGGCGGCCCACACCCCTTCCAGGCCCCATCTGAACCTGGCTCAGCTTTGTCAGGCCACAGGACCTTCCAAGGGGACACCAGCTGCCTTCTCAAGAGGGCAAGCGGCAGCCAACGTGAGAATCTTCAGGGCCTCCCACGAGCGAGTGTGCCCACTGCTGCCCCTATGCCAGCCCCTCACCTCAGCTCCTGACCGCCATGCTGTGTGCCTAAGTGGGCACTCAAGTCTTCCTTAAGATGACAGGAAACTGCTTTTTGGTTTTTTGGTGTTTTGTTTTGAAACAGAGTCTCACTCTTTTTGCTCAGGCTGGAGTGCAGTGGCGTGATCTCGGCTCACTGCAACCTCCTCCTCCCGGGTTCAAGTGATTCTCCTGCCTCAGCCTCCCGAGTAGCTGGGATTACAGGGGCCCACCACCACACCCGGCTAATTTTTGTATTTTTAGTAGAGACAGGGTTTCACCATGTTGGCCAGGCTGGTCTCGAACCCCTGACCTCAGGTGATCCACCTGCCTCAGCCTCTCAAAGTGCTGGGATTACAGGCGTGAGCTGCCGCGCCTGGTCAGGAAACTGCTTTTTGGAAGTCTCTGCTTAAGGCTGATCTGTGATTCCTCCCTGGCTGGGCGGGGAGCCAGGCTGGCGTTCCAGTTTGTGCTGAGGATTGGGCAGGTCTAGGGATCACAGAGGAGGGTGGCTGGGGCCACATCGAGGGCTACCCCTCCCTGTGAGCCTCTGGGTGCGGCTGAGGCTGTGGTCAAGGGAGTGGCTGGGAAACAGCCGAGATGGCTTCGTGCCAGGGGCAGGAGGCACAGGTGCGGGGCTGATGGGAGACCCAGACTTGGGACCTGACATCCAGGACCGTGTGCCATGGGACATGGTCAGACCCTCCTTGGAGCCCTGCTGTGTGCCCAGAAGACCCAGTTCTCGGCAGGAAGGAAGCAGCTGCTGTCCCCACCAGACCCTGCCTGCCAAGACCAGAGCCCCACCTGGGAGCGGCAGGCGGCGAAGGTGGGGCCGTGGAGGATGCTGCACTGCTTCTGGGCCCAGGACTTGCGGAAGGGATTGGCCGTGCAGGGGTCCTTCGGCGCCAGGGCATCCGGGCAGGACGGGGAGAGCTTCCAACTGTTCCCAAACTCCAGCGCGTCCCCCACCACGGACCGGCTACGCGTGGCAAAGTCATTCATGGCATGGTCATCGAAGTTCCCGCACAGGCCGCAGACCCTGCCCTGCACAGGCAGCAAGAAAGTGGGGCCCTGGAGCTGGGGCCACAGGCACCCATGGGAGGCAGCACAGAGCCTGCCCTGGGGTCCAGAGCCCTCGGGGGATGGAGGGAGGGCAGCCAGTTCCCCAGGCAGTGCCTGGTGAACTTGCAGGGGACAGGTGTGCAGTGGGTCCGTGGGTGGGCTGCTGGGTGGCACCTGCTCCCCTGTAAAACCCTCTGCCCACTGTGGAGGCCACAGGCAGGGCCCTCACCAGCCAGGCTCATGTACCCACAGGTCAGTGAGTCCCACAGGCCCCACCGGGCACTGGGGTTTCTCTTGCTGTGAGAGGGTCCTGCAGGGCCGAGGAGTGCACGGCCCGAGCTCACCTTGTAGTCCTGGTGCAGTCGGATGAACACGCTGGTCTTCCGGTCCCAGGACACGGCCATCCCGCGGGTCTCGATGACCAGGAAGATCCCCATGTAGCGGATCTTGTAGGGCGGGTCCCCGCCCGGCCCCCTGGCCACTGCCTTAAAGGCGCCCTCCTGGAGGATCAGCTCGTAGCTCTGCAGGGGAGGCAGAGGTGGCTGGAAGCTGACCCTGTGGCCCCCGGGGAGGGGCCTGAGACCTGGGGATGCCCCACCCAGTACAGGGCCCTGCAGGTGCGCACAGGCTCTTGGCACAAGGGGCTGGCATTAGGAATGAGCTGGGTCCATGAGACCCTCAGCAAAGGTTTGGCAAGAGGCTGGCCAGGAAGTGCTGGGAACAGGGGCTGCCTGGGAACGCTGGGGCCGCACGGGAGCAGCAGAGGCCGCAGTGGGCCGGCTCCACCCCACCCTGCTCCCTATCCAGCCCTGCATGCAGCCCCCACACCCCCACGCCAGCCTCCCCCATCCGCGGTGGTCCTCAGCCCCTCTCGCCATGTGCAGGGAGTGTCCCGGCCAGTGGCTCTTTCTCCCTGGGAGCTCTGGCCCCCCTTTGCTGGGGTGGGTGTCTCTGGGTGTGGCAGGGTGAATGGTGGCTCCTGAAAATGTCTGTCCACATACGAAGTCCCAGAACCTTGGCCTGGGGCCTCATTGGGAGAAAGAGTCTCTGCAGATGGGATTGAGTGAAGCATCTTGAAATGAGGTTGTCCTGGACTACCTGGGGGGCCCTAAATCCAAGGACCAGTGTCCTTACAAGAGACAGAAGAGAAAAACAAAAACAAAAAGAGAAGACAGACAGAGACACAGCGGGAGGCCACAGGCAGCCGCAGCCCAGGGACGCCTGCAGCCCATGAAGCTGGGAGAGGCAGGAAGGACCTCCTCAGACCCTCAACAGGGAGTGTGGTCCTACCCGCCTGGATCTCCGACTTCCGACTCCAGGACTGAGAATGCATTTCTGTTGTCTAAGCCCCCTGGTTTGTGGCTGTTTGGAACAGCATCCCAGGGCCAGGACACCGCTGAGAACCTGTGGGTGCAGCTGAAGCCTCACGAAGGTTCCCTGGGGGCCGGCTCGCTGGCTGCAGGGTCAGGGGGCTCACAGCCGGGGCCGCTCTCACCTCCACGAAGAGCTTGATGGCCTTGGAGCAGGTGGTGCCGGTGGTCCCACAGGGGATGTTCTCGGTGACGATGCGGAAGGTCCCATGGGTGGCGTCGTCCCCACAGTAGTCCTGGGCCAGGAAGAGACAAGCTGCTGGCCGCGGGCCGGAGCGTGCCCAGCCTGCAGGAGCGGGCGAGGGGGCGGCGTACCTGGGCCAGGATGTACTCGCAACTGCCTTCAAAGCTGTAACGCTCGCCATCAAAGGTGATGAAGTGGCCATCCCCGTAGGCCACGCAGGTGCCTAGGCAGAGCCGGTGGCTGCACTCCCACCTCCGGTTCCTGCAGGTGCTGCGAGGGGCCAGGGACGGTGCCTGCTCACAGGGGCCTGCCCTCCTGGCCTTCCTGAGACCCGGCACCCAGGCCTGTGCAGGTCAGCACACGGCCTCAGCCTCCCCAGGCCCAGTCTGACCCGTCCTCGGTGGAAGGGGTGGCGTTCCCCACTGTGAATGCAGGGCACGCAGCCTCACCAGGCTCCTGGTAGCACCACTGGCCCTAGGCCACCTTCCAGAGGACGCACAGGACTGCCCGTGGCTTTCCCAGCAACTCTGTCTCCTGTTACGACCCCATCTTGCCCTGGCCAGCTGGCCCCCTGCCCTCCCCACCCACTGCCCTCCCTGCCCCCTTCCCTCCCCGCCCGCTGCCCTCCCCACCCACTGCCCTCCCTGCGCCCTTCCCTCCCCGCCCGCTGCCCTCCCTGCCCGCTGCCTCCGAGGGACCCACGACCCACCAGGTGTTGCAGTCGACCCTGATGGTGTCTCCAGGCTTGTAGGTGGCCTCGTTGTGCACGCAGGGGCAGTCCTCCTCGGCGATGCAGCCCCCACTCCCGTCTGACACCAGCCCCGGGGGACAGACACAGCCGGACACGCAGTGTGTGCTGAACTGTGGGGCCCAGGCAGGTACCAGTCAGGGCCGGACACCAGGGTAGGCAGATGCCACTCACCCTCTGGGACAGGCGCACCCAGTGGCCCCCAGGGCAATTCACGGGCCAGGGCGGAGCTTCCGGGTGGGTAAGTGTCTCCAGGACCACCAGATCCCTGGGCTCGGGAGCTGGGAAAGCTGGGACCCCTTCCCTGCCCACCCCTCCCTGAAGCACGGGACAGCCGGGGCCAGGAACTCACACAGCCCACGTCCAGCGTGTGGCAGCTCCGGAGGCACTCGGCCCCAGGGGTGCCCGCCGAGCTGTTGCTGCAGTTCAGGTACACCATGGGGGCCACACACCCTGGGGGCAGAGCTTGGTGGGAGGGGTTCTGGGGAAGGGCAGCCCTCGACTGACCCTGGGCAGCCCTGAGCCTGTCCTGCTGGCCAAGCTAGCAGCCCCCGAGCCAAAGCTTCCATGAAACCTGCAGCCCCCAACCCCAGGACACCCCGGCCACACTGCGGGGCAGAGACCCATTGGCTCCTCTGTCCCTGGCGTGTCGGGGCATGGGTGCCTGTGGCAGAGCCCAGGTGAGGACTGACCTGGTCCGGCAGGGCTCAGGTGGGGTGGGGCGAGTCGGGGCGAGGCGGGGCGGGGCTGTGCGTGGCTGTGCGTGGCGGGGCGGGGCTGTGTGTGGCTGTGCGGGGCGGGGCTGGGCGGGGCGGGGCTGGGCAGTGTGGGGCGGGGTGGCACTTACCTGTGCTTTTCTGCAGAGAGGCTCCCAGGCAGCTCAGCTTCCCACCCTCACACGAACTACAAGAGATGGACGGCCCGGCCTGGACCTGCCGCCCTCACCCCACAGACCCCACCCCCAGGCTCCCGAGCACCCACAGAGCGCTGGGCCTCCCCAGCCTGGCCTCCTCCTCGTGAGACCGGACAGTGCCTGCCACTGTTCGCTGGGAGGCGCATGGGTAAATACACACAGGTGGGCGACAAAGCAGCCAGGACCCTGCGGTTAGCAGCAGCCTTTGAACCCAGGGTGGGAGTGGGGGCCACCCACCTTTCCTGGCAGGGGCTGCTGTTTGGACCCAGCTGAGAACAGCCAGCAGGCATCCTCCCAGGGCCACCTCCACTCCTGGCCTCTTTCCCAGCCGGGAATTTTCTCTTTAGAATGTGCTGGGTCCACCCTGCGCCGCCCTCCCCAGCCTGGCCCCTTGTGTCTCAGAACCCTCGTGGGGAGGCACAGAAGCCTTCGGGGAGGGCAGGAGGTGGCTTTGAGGAGCACTCGGGGACCTGCTTTCCCCCCTGCCCAGCCCCTTACCACACAGCGCCTTCGTCGTGCACGACCTCCCCAGGAGCCAGCACGGTGCCGTGAACATAGCAGGGGCACTCCCGGGCGGGCACACAGGCGCCCGCGTCATTGAGGAAGGTGCCCGTGGGACAGGTGCAGCCGTCCACAGGCACAAAGGAAACGCTGCAGGTGACGTCGGCCTCACTCAGGCCTCGGCAAGTCGGCTGGCAGGCGTCCACCACGTAGGCATAGCGCTGGGACTTGGGGCAGTTCTGCATGTACTTGGCTATGGTCGGTGGGGCCAGGGAGGACAGGTCAGCGACCGAGCAGCCTGGCCAGCCCCCGCCCACCCCATCTTCAACTCAGCATCCCTGTCTGTGATGTGGTGATCGCAAGGATACAAGGTTCTTGCGAGGCTGGGATGAGGAGGCACAAAGCTCTGGGCTGAGAACCGTGTGAGTGACGGCTGCTGCCGGTCAGGGTCCCCCGCACCCCACGCAGCGTGGACACATCCCCCCTCCAGTGCAGGCACTCACTGCAGACGCCGTCCCTCCAGCCGCTGAGCTGCACGCCTTTGGCGGCACAGGCGTGCACATAGGAGGACAGCGCGGCGCACAGGCAGTCCTCGCTCCGCTCACAGTTGCAGGTGTCAAACAGGCAGTTCTGCGGAGGTGGGCGGGCGTCGGGGCGTCAGGGACCCCAGCCCGCCAGGGCTCCCCCACCCATCCCACCCAGGGGTAGGGATCTGGCCTCACGGCCTCTTACCGAGTGGAAGGGCTTGGGGTTGATGACAGAGTGGCAGCGCGAGAAGGAGCCGGTGGGGTCAGTCAGGCGTGAACACCAGTGCCGGGCGTAGTTCTCTGTGGGGAAGACCCGGCCCCATCTCCATGACCTGCCACAAAGCCCACACCCCCGACACACAGGCCTGCACCCCCTCAGCCTGGGGAACAGTGAGCTGGAATTTGGGGCTTACCTGCCGCACCTTGGGGGATTCTGGCCGCCTGGCCCCAAGCACCTCGTCCCGATGCCTCCCACCCGCCTCCATGGGGTCCCCAGTCCCACCCGTGGCCCAGGGGACAGGAAGGTGCTAGGTGGCACTTGAGCCTGGGGTGACTGTGGGCGTGGGGGCCAGGAGTACCATTCTCCACACTGAGGGAGCAGGGGTCCTCAAAGCTGTTCCTGGCATTGGCGCAGGCGGCCTGGGCCTTCCAGGTGTTGGCGAAGGCTGCGCCTGTGGCCTCCACCACCCCGCTGAGGGCTGCGAAGTCGTCAGCCTGGTTCTGGTTGAAGTTCCCACACAGGCCTGCGAGCCAGGGTTGGGGATGTCAGCAGCCGCGGTTGGGCCCACCCGGCTCCCCGCCCCTGCCATCCCTCCAGGCACCACACAGGGTGGAACGGCTGGGAGCTCTGTCCCAGGATTCTGCTTCCAGAACCCTCTGCAGATAAGCCCCAGTGGGGGGCAGCCCCTGTGCAAAGCTGGCCTGAGCCAGGGCAGGGCTGCCCGCTCCATCCTCCCGGCTGGTTGCTTCCGGGGCCGCCAGTCAGATGTTGGCGTCCTGTGCTGGCGGCGCCAGGGTCTCCACCATGCTCTGGGAGCAGCCCTCTCCCTTGTCCCCTGCCTGCCTCTGCCTGCCCCTCCCTGCAGCCTGGCGCTAGTCCAGGCCCCGTCCCCGAAGGCTCCTGCCCAGCCTCACCGCACATCTGGCCCTGGTGGGCGGGGTCCAGCCTGACAAACACCTGCATGAGCGGCACCAGCTGCACCAGCAGCTGCAGCCCGAGGACTGTGTGCACCACGATGAAGAAGCTCGAGGGTGTGAACAGGGTGATGTTGGCTGCCAGGAGTGTGGGAGAGAGGCCGGTCAGGGGTGCAGGGCCAGATCTGGCCAGATTAGAGGGGCAGGGCATCCAGTGGGCCGGGCCACCCCACTGAGACCCGGGAATGAGACCCAGGAGTGGCCAGGAGCCCTCATGCTCCCTGTCCCAGGCCTGTGGCCGCCAAGCCGGCTCAGGGGGAGACTCTGGGCTCCCTGACAGAGTGGGACTGAGCAAGCTGGATGTGGGTTCCCCACAGCTACCTGGATGGGAGCCTGGCATTCCCACTCTGCAGATGAGAAACCGAGCACAGGAAGCTCTTGGAGCTGCCCAAGGCCACGGAGAGCTAGCAGGGGATGGACCGGACGCTGCCCAGATCGTGGGAGCTGCCCCTGCTAGGAGGCGCCACCCGGCCCAGCCGTCCTGGGAGAGCCACGTACCTGCCGACAGGGGCAGCTGCGTGTAGATGGAGTTGAGGAACACGCTGCCGTCTGCCTGGACCCGGATGGCCTGTGGGAGGAGGCGGGCAGGAGGTCAGCTCTGCGGAGGAACCTGTTCCCGACTCTCAAATGAGGGGGTGGCCTGCCCAGGGGCCCCCACTGGGGACAGCCCACAAGAAGCTCAGGCCTGGACCTGCGGTGGGCTCTGCATTTCCCTCCCGGGAGGGCCTGACCTTGGAGCTGGAGGGGGAACCTGACCTGAGGGCGGGAGGGGGGACCCCACCTCAAGGCGGGAGGGGGGACCCCACCTCAGGGCTGGAGGGGGGACCTGACCGTGCTCACTCCCTGCACATCTTCGCACGCCCCTTCCTGTCCCAGCCCAGGACCCGAGCCAGGCCCTTACCGTGTCCCCGCCGTCCATGCTAAGAGTAACTCACCGTGTCCCCGCCGTCCAGGCTGAGCGTCACGGCCTTCAGGCAGTTCTCGTTGTCCGTCAGTCCACACTTCCGCAGTTCGGCCAGCACGGTGAAGCTGCCATCAGCACATTTCTGGGGGAAGGACCCACGCATGCATTGGGCCTGGCTCGATGATGTGGGGGCCCCCCAAAAGCGTGCTGGGGATGCCCATGTGGGGGATGTGGCTCTGTGAGGAGGTGTCCCTTGGCACCTCTGGTCACCTCCCAGCAGCTTGTCTCAGGGCCTGGGGGCTTCTTGGCCCCGTGATGCTCAGCAGGGAGAACCACCCCTCTATGACCATCATGGGGACCCAGGGCTTCCCCCCAGCAGGAACATCCGGCCCTCTATGACCATCGTGGAGGCCTCCCCTGGGCAGAAGGGGTGTGAGGATCCCGGGAGGACCTGGGTGTCCGAAGACCCGGCCCTGTGCCCAGACCTTGGACAGAACATAGCTGCAGTCGCCATGCAGGTCGTAAAGTTTCTCGTCATAGGTGGTGATGTGGGCCCCGCCCTGCACGGAGCAGGTGCCAGGGCACGGCAGGTCCTGGCACTGCCACAGCCCCCCAGAGCAGGTGCTGGGGAGGGAGGCCATGAGCAGAACAGACATGTCAGGAGGAGGTGGGCTCCACCCTCCACACCCCACCCCAGGCAGAGGCTGGCGGGTTCATAGGTACCAGGAGCTGCAGGTGGTGTTGACGGAGGTGCCCGGGCTGTAGGTGCGGCCACCGTGGGTGCAGGGGCACTGCCCGAGGGGCAGGCAGCCAGAGTGCGTGACATCATCCAGCACCGTGCCTGTGGGGCAGGGCGTGAGGCAGGACCGGCCCATGCACGGGGGACACCAAGGTCAGAAGACCCCAGCCTTGGGGACAAGCCGCCTCCCTCAGGGAGGAACTCCTGCTCCAGGACACCACCCCTGCCCTGAGCCCCACCCACTTGGATGAACACCAAGCACCTCTGGGCCTCAGTTTCCCTACCAGACCCAACTGGCTCATGGCACTGCTCTGCCTCTACGCATCGTCGGGTTTTCCAGCACCCTCCCAGCCAGTGCCCTTCCCACCCTGGGCCCTCTGGTGGGACCCTCTGGCATGAGGGGCTCTGCTTCCAGGCCTGATGAGGCTGGGGGCGGGGCTGGGAACAGGGACCTGAAAACACGCGAGACCTGCCTGGGGGGCAGAAGCAGCCGTCCACACAGTGGTCCTCGCAGAGCTGCGCACGCTGGGGGTTGGAGCAGGTGTCCACACAGGGTGAGCCACACTCCCGGTGCTGCATGTTGACGGGGCAGGTCCGGGCTGCACAAAAGGAGGCGGGGCTGGGCCAGGGGAAGGGCCCTGTACTGTCCGCGTGGTCAGCCCCAGCCACCTTCCACCGCCTTCCACTTGCCGCCAAGTCCGCAGAAGCCAGAGCTGGGCCTCAGAGTGGCCCTGATGCCCCTCATCATAGCAGCTCCTCCCTCCAGTCCCAGTCCCCGCCACCTGCACAGCCTCTTCTTCTCCTGCAGCCCCCGGAGGCACCATCCCCTCCTGGGGTCCTGGGGTGGCCTCTGCCCACTATGCCTGGGTTGTGTCCTTTGCCCTCCATCCCTGTCCCCCAGGCCTCTCCACCCGCCTATGGCCCCCAAAGCGCTCCCCCTGCCCCTTCTCTCCAGCACAATCCTTGGCAAAGGCCCTGGGAACACTCACGGCAGAGCTCAGGGTGCCTCCAGTTCTGCGGCTGGCCCCCCGCGTGGGCGCACTGGCGTGAGTATTCCACAAAGGTGGCGCACGGGCAGGTGGGGCAGCGGCACAGGTCCTGGGCGCAGGCAGCCAGGTACGGGGCGCTGTCCACCAGTGCGTGGCACTCTGCAAAGGCCGGCCCCAGCAGGGTGTGGTGGCAAATGCCTTCCTGGGGAGCACAGTGGGCCAGGCTGGGCACCCCTGCCCTCCATGGGGGCTGCCACAGTGCTGGAACAGGACCCATGGCAGGCCAGGCTGGGAAGCCCTCTCCCCATCGAGGTTTCTTGTACCCAGCCCCATGCCTTCCACCCACTGTGGCTGTGTAGCTGCCGGTGCAGAGCTCTGCTTGGCCCTTGGGGAGTGACCCATGACTCTGAATCCCCCACCTGGGATGTGCCTGCCCACGAAGTGAGCACCCAAGAAAGGTGCAGACCCCACCCCAGGAGGCGGAGCCAAGGAGGGCAGGTGCAGACCCCACCCCAGGAGGCAGAGCCAAGGAGGGGAGGTGCAGACCCCGCCCCAGAGGTGGAGCCAAGGAGGGCAGGTGCAGGCCCCGCCCCATGAGGCGGAGCCAAGGAGGGCAGGTGCAGACCCCGCCCCAGGAGGTGGAGCCAAGGAGGGCAGGTGCAGACCCCGCCCCAGGAGGCGGAGCCAAGGAGGGCAGGTGCAGACCCCGCCCCAGGAGGTGGAGCCAAGGAGGGCAGGTGCAGACCCCGCCCCAGGAGGCGGAGCCAAGGAGGGGAGGTGGAGCCCCCGCCTCTCTGAAGAAAGGTGCAGACCCCGCCCCAGGAGGCGGAGCCAAGGAGGGCAGGTGCAGACCCCGCCCCAGGAGGCAGAGCCAAGGAGGGGAGGTGCAGACCCCGCCCCAGAGGCGGAGCCAAGGAGGGGAGGTGGAGGCCCCACCTCTCTGAAGAAAGGTGCAGACCCCGCTCCAGGAGGCAGAGCCAAGGAGGGCAGGTGCAGACCCCACCCCAGGAGGCGGAGCCAAGGAGGGGAGGCGCAGGCCCTGTCTCTCCGGGTAGCCTGGCAAGTTCAGGGCAGTCCAGTGCTGAGTGTCCTCCCTTCCCAGGCCCCGGGCTGCCAGCTGTGGGGCCCAGCTCCCGGGGGGCTGCTGCTGTCATTCAATGCCCAATTTAAGGCTCAGAGATTCTGCTGATTTAGGGATCCTGGAGCCTCCAGGCCCCTTCTGAGTCCCCCTGCTGGTGGGAAGAGCTGGCTCCAGGCTCCCCGAGTACCCACCCTCAGCCCAGCCCGTGCAGCATGGGCTATATTTGCTCGCACAGCTTGTCACACGCGTAGCCTGAGGAACACACACATCACCACACTTGGACCGTGTGTACGGTGGAACTGAGCACACAGAGGGTGGCTGCCAGGCCTCCCTCCAACGCCACCATCTCTCCTCCAGCTGGGAACGTTCCTCAGACCTCGGCCTGGCTCCCCCTGGACCTGGAGGTCATCCCTGCCCAGGAGCGAGGGGCTCACCTCTGGAGGCCGTCCCTGCCCAGGAGCAAGGGGCTCACCTCTGGAGGCCGTCCCTGCCCAGGAGCAAGGGGCTCACCTCTGGAGGCCGTCCCTGCCCAGGAGCTGGGGGTTGGGGGGAAACTCACCTCATCTGTGCAGTTGCTGGCCAGCAAGGGCAGCGGGTCCGGGCACTGCTCCGTGGGCCCATCCAACTTCTGCAGGTTCCCAAACTGGAGCGGGGTCAGTCTGGCATCTGCCGGGAAGAAAGCAGGAGTGTGGTGGCTCTGAGGGGATCCTGGGGACAGGGTATGGGCTCCCACTTCCTGAGCCCAGGCCAGAGGACTCCCACTCCTGCCTGGGGCCCGATGTGCCCGAGGGGCGCTCCTCCCACCATGTAGGGCACAGCCCTTGTGACCCCTCCCTGCCCGGTGCCCGGTCCCCACTCCACCCCTCCCAGCCTCCATGGGACTGTGACCCTTGGCTGGCTGACATAATCGGTCACCGTCCCCTCGCCCAGGTGGCACTCACTGTGGGCATAGAACTCGTTGAAGACTGGGAGGCCGTTGAAGTCCCCGCACAGGCCACAGGTCTGGTTGGCGTATTTGGGGTCCAGCTCCAGCTGAGAGTAGGGGAGGAGCAGCTCCAGCCTCAGGACTTCTGATCCCCCCACTGGCAACATGCCCCAAGCCCTGGGACCCCAAGCCCAGGGAGGCATCCCTCGACCCCTGTGGGGGTTTTGTGGCCAGGCCTGGAGGGGCAAGGGACGAGAGGGCTTCCTCACCAGGGCACTGTCCTCTCCGTTCCACAGGAAGGTCAGGACCAGCCGGATGCTGACCTTGACGTAGTCCCCGCTCTGCTCCACCAGGAGCCCAGTGCGGCTGTAAGGCAGCTCCTCCCTGCACAGACAGCTGGGTCTCTCCCTGGGCCCAGCCCTCCCGGCTGCCTGCCCGCCCGCCCAACCCCAACCCCGCCCTGGCCCAGGTCAGACACGGCCGTGTGGGGAGGTCACACCACGTGGCCCGGCCCTCGCCTCTCCCCAGGGTGGCCGGCTCACCGCTGCCCATTGACGAGGACAGAGCCATTGGACGCCTCTAGCACCAGCCCCTGGGCCTTGATGACAACACGAGTGACCACAGGCCTGGAGCCCACCAGGCCTCTGCGTAGCTGGACGTTGAAGTCCTCATAGGCGGCGCCGCAGTGCTTGGAGAACACGTAGTTGCAGAGGCCGGGGAAGCGGAAGACGTCACCGTCGAAGGTCTTGTAGTGGAAGTCGCCCCAGGTGCTGCACACCCGCCCGTTGTGTGCCGGGTTCAGGGCTGTGGGGAGCGTGGGATGAGGCCCACCCCCATGCCAGCCCCCCACGGGGTAGCCTCCCCTGGGCTGAGGTGCCCTGGTTTTTGGAGCAGAAAAGCCCATGGTCGGCTGCTGGCTGTGCCCTGCATGGTTCACCCTGGGCTGCCTCTGTTTCACTCCAAGACCCCTGACCCGTCCCCATCCCCCAGGGCGGCCAGTGATCAGGAGACCGCCCAGAGGGAGGACTCTGGGTCTGGCCCAATGGCCCCACCTGGTGGCAGCTGCACCCCTAGATCTGGGCCCCCACCTTTGGGGCTGGCAAACACCCCCTTCCCAGCCGGCAGGGACGGCGTCTGCTTACGGCTCAGGCTGGGGAAGACAGTGACGGGTGGAACAAAGCTCACACGCCGGGTGGGCGAGGACGTCGGGGCACCTGTGGGCGAAGGCCGGTCACCCCAGGAACGTGGCCGGGAAGGGGCAGCAGAGACACCCTCCCCGGGTCCCACCCTCCTCGCCAGCCACCAGAGTTGAAGGGGAGCCCGAAACTGATGGGCTGGGGGCAAGGCAACCCCTTCACCCTTTGCCCTGTCTGCTCACAAACACTGCAGCCTTGTGTTTTGGCCTGTGTGCACACGTGTGTGTGCTGGTGCAAGTATGGGCGCACGTGTGCCTGCACGTGTGTGCGTGTGTGTGTGCACGTCTCTCTGCTTTGCACTTTCCTCTTCTTTGTAGCGTCCAGCTCCGCCTCAGGTGCCGGGCATTGTCCTGGGCAGGGGACCCAGGGAGGGTCTCTGTTGGACGCATGGCTGCTCGGAGAGGCCTCTGCCTGCCCCAGCCCAAATCCCAGCACCTCCAGCCTGGTCAGGAACCCCCTACCCGAGCCTGGCCACGTACCGCCATCTGTGGTGTGCCCTGCACTGCCCCAGCTCGGCTCCGCAGGGCCCTGGGTCTCTGTGGGAAGAGGGGATGGGAGTCAGTGAGGAACCAGATGTGGCTGCCGGCCACGAACCTGACCGTGGACCCGGCCACATCCCTGGTGCGGCAGCCTCATGTGGGGTCCACGGTGACAGTCTCCACGCTCTGCAGGGTCACCCGCACGGCACACTCTGGCCAAGGCCGGGACTCCTCCCCAGCCGCTCAGGCCACCCCAACCGTCAACTACAGATGCCTCCCCCGCCACTCAATGCTATGGAAAGCCTGCGGGATGGAAGCTTCCAGCAGGGAGCCCTGAGCTGCCGCCGGCACGACCTGCATCTGTCCAGAGACCCCAGCCCTCCCCAACTGACATGCGGGGATGGTGCCTCCTTCTGAAGTGATGGGGGAGAAAATGGAATCAGGAAAAGGCGTTGGCCGCCCCAAGGGGGGATTCCGCCTCATCCCACACGTCCCCTGGAGAAGGACAAAGGCCAGCTTTGTTGGGAGGACACACTTGGAACCTTCCAGGCGTGACTTAGCAGAAACCTAAGCCCAGAGCCAGTTTCGATCCCTAAGTCCGGGTGAGTGGGGCGGGGTGGGGGCAGGCCTCGGGGCTGTGAGGCTGTAGATACTGGGATGGCGCCAAGGTCCCCCAGGCTGACCACCGCCTCCGGGCAAGGCCTCACCCACCAGTCCCATGGAGGCTGGACTCTGGGCTGAGAGCCTGGGAAGAGGCAGCTCCAACCCCCAGGACTCTGAGGCCCCCTGGCCCCCAGGACATTGTCTGCTCGGTTTGGGTTGGGGTGCCCCCTCCACCAGGCCCCAGAGCTCCTCCCTGGAGCCTGATCAGAGATGGCCCAGCCCAAACCTGTGCTTCCTGGGGAGGCGGGAGGTGAGGCCCCAGCCCCCACAGCACGGTCAGGGCTCAGCGAGGGGCTGGCCCCTGTGGTTTGTGCTCTGGCCTGGCCCTGCCTGGCTTTTCCAGTCAGGTCCTGCTGACATCTGGGAACCACAGCAGGGGCCGCCTCCAGAGGTCCAGGTTCGCTGCCTTTCCCAGAAGGCCAGCCGCTCCCTGTGTCCTCCACCCCAACCCCCAGCCCACAGCCCTGCCCACGTGTGCCGGCCCACTCAGCCACTCCCACGCACTGGTGCCCACCCCAGGCAGCCCCTCCCTACCCCAGGGAGCCCCTCCCCACCCCAGCAGCCCCTGGCAGCCCCAGGCAGCCCTTCCCCACCCAGGCAGCCCCTCCCCACCCAGGCTGACCGCCCTTGGTCATCTGCTCCATGCCGTGCCCTCGTTGGACTGGGCCACCTGGGCCTCCATCTTGAGGCCAGAGAAGCGCCCGCCACCAGCCCTCCCATCACCCTGGGGTGTGTCCCCTAACGTGAAGCAGCTCTGTGCAGGGCCCGCCTTGCCCCGGCCATAGGACGTGCATCTTGTGACTAAAGCACAGTCCCTGCTGAGGGCTTGATCTCCCCAACTTGGATGTGCATGGAGGACTGGAGGACGTGGGGGCTGACAGTCCCTGGGCCCTGCCTGCTCGGGTGAGGGGAGCCCAGGCTGCATGGCCTGGAAGAACTAGATGCAAGGATATGGCTATTCTGGTCAAACCAGCGCCCAAACTTTGTGGTCAGAGGCAGCTCCCCCCGGGCCCAGGCTGGGAGCCACTGGGGGAAGCCGCCTACCTCCAGCCCTGCTGACCACCCAGCCTCCCTTCCACAGACAGAGAGAGCCCCCGGGGAGCCTCGCCTGCGCAGCCCAGACCCCAGGCTTGGGAGGGAGTGGACGGCAGGGCAGGGAGGGACTGCAGCTGCCTCTTGGCCAGCCCGGCTGGGTGTCTCCAGGTGGCCCCTGGGGCCGCATCTTTCTCTGTTGACAGTAAGTATTAAAGCTGCGGCTCTGGCCAAGAGATGGCAGACGAGGGAAAATGCTTGGCTGAGAGCCAGGCAGCCCGTGCGGCCTGAGATGCCCGCAGATGACCTGTGGGAGTCACGCGTGGGTTGAGGCCAGGGCTCTCGCGGCTGGCTGTGCAACCCTTGAGGGTGGTGCCCTCACCTGCCCTGCCAGCTGTGATCCCCAGGCTGGTCGTGAAGGGCAAAGCTGGTCCTGGGCAGGGGCCCACACTAAGCCCACCCCTGCTTACTGTGATGCCTGGGCCTCACAGGGCTCCAGAGAGACCCACAGCCGTGGCCCCCTCCCCCATTGCCCACTCCTGTCTCACCCCCAAGACCAAGACCCTTTCGGTGGTCTCCCAGGGTCCTTGCCCTGCAGTCAGGGGCCCAACTTCCCCTGGACATCCCATCCAAGCCAGTCCCTGAGTTCCCTGACACTGTGGGCCCATGGGGCCAGAGAGCTCTGTGCTGGGGACACGTAGGGTCCCATCCAGGATACTCAGGATCCTAGGGGGATCTGCCCGTCCACTCTGCAGGAGAAGCTCCCAGGCAAGCGGCCTGCAGAGATCCCCACCGTGAAGACGGCATCCGAGAGGGGGCTGAGTCGGGGGGCTCTTACCTGCCTGCTGCACCAGGAGCACGGCCGCCAGAGCCAACACCAGCGTCCGGCACGTGCTCAGGGCACCCATCCTGGGGACTGGCACAGGTGGGGGGCGCGGACGGGCAGGGAGGGAGCTGGGCCGGGTGCTTGCTCCCCTGGGGGCCCCAGCTTATGTAGCAGGGAGTGTTGGCCCCAAGCCAGGCCAGGCCACGCAGGGCACCCTGCTCTTTCCCGCGCCAGCCACGTGTGTTTGCTCTCGGGGAGGGGCTGTGGCGGGGAGAGGCCTGGATCAGGAAGGATTTGCAGCTCTGTGCCCTGAGGCCCAGGACGCCCCCACCCCCAGCAGCTTCTGAGAATTGGAAGGGAGAGGAGAAGGGCCCGTCCCGCCTGGCACCTTCCTAGATGGCAAAGCTGCTGGAGGGCAGGGCTGGCCTTGGGCACAGGGTCCCTGGAAACGGTGGTCAGCCAGCCTGTCTCACACTCAGCCCCACTCCGCTCCACTGGGAGGGAACCCCAGCCTCTGGGCAGCTCCCCCAGCCGCTCACCATGGGTGCCCGAGGCCCGGGGAGGGCCCACGAGGCTGGAGCTCCTCTCCAGCCACTGCTCAGCCAGCGGGAAGGCCGGGAGGCTCCTGCTCAGCTCAGGCGTGCACGTGGCCAGGATGCTCAGGCTGGGTGGCTTGTGGGGGTCCCTGGAGGGGGCCCCATTTCTGGAGATCCCAGCCCAGCTGACCAGAACCCCTTGAAGACCATGGGAGGTCTCTGGGCTCATCTGTTTCAAGGTTCATGTTCAAGGGGAAACTGAGGCCCAGGGTGTCCCCTGGCCATGCACATCGGGAGTCAGCCGTGCTTGTCCAATGCCAGACCTGGTCCAGCCAGGCCAGAAGCTCCAGCCCTGAGTCCCATTTGGCCTCCACCTCACTCTGGGCCCCTCATTAACCTTGGCAGGGTTGAGGAAGCAGCGGCTCCTGGAGGTCCTGGACCTGCCCGGGGTCCTCAGCCTGCCCCAGGTGGGAGCCGCGGAAGCCTAGCACCTCACACTGGGGCTGGGTGGGCTTCCCGGGGGCCACGTGGTAAACCTCCCCGACCAACGTCATCTACAGGGCAGACAGTGTCATCTACAGGACACTCCGTCCGCGCTGCAAACACCTCCTGCAAACGCCTCCTGCCCGTGTGCCCTGCACTTGAGACGCTCCCACCCTCTGGCTCCCTGGCCACCAGCATCCTGAACGCTCCGTGACATGGACCCTAGGTTTCCGGGAAGCACCAGGTCAGGTGGTGTGACCTCGTCCGACCCCACGGGGACCCTAGGTTGGCCTCCAGGTCTGTTGTTTTGTTTGCGTAACAGTCCCCGCCACGGGGGCCCTGCGCCAGCTCCCCCACGTTTGTCTTTCTGAAGTTAAATTCTTAGAGGTGGAATTTCTGGGGCAAGAGGAAAGCCCATCTTCAAAGCTTCTGACCTGCCTCACGCTCAGTAGGACGGCGGGGATCCAGAAACACAGGAAGTAAGAAGTGTTGACAGAGACGTGGAGACCCGGAGCCCTGTGCCCTGCCGGTGGGGGTGACCAGCACCTCCACTCTGGGTCTGTCCCCGGAAGAACTGAAGGCGGGTCATGAGGGACATTTGCACCCCCATGTTCACAGCAGCATCACTGACAAAGGGCAGAAGCTGCTCATGTGTCCTGGATGGAGGACTGGGCCAGCGTCGTGAGGCCGATCCGTGCGGTGGAATAGAGTTCAGCCGTGAAAAAGAGAGGCTGGCCCAGGCTGCTCCACGAGGGAAGCTGGGGACACTGTGCAGAGTGAGGTAGGTGGACACAGAGGACAAAGGCAGAAGGGGCCGCTCATGTGCTGCCCCTGGAGTCATGAAACCCACAGAAACGGAGCATGGACCGTGGGCGCCAGGGGCTGGCAGAGGGGATGGGGAGCTGGTGTTTCATGGGGACAGGGTTTCAGCTTGGGAAGATGAGAACGTTCTGGAAACAGAGGGCGGAGACACCTGCACAGCAACGTGAATGGACCTGGCCCATTCTGCCATCTGTCACCCCCTCATGGCTGAGGCCCCCAGGCGACTCCTCAGAGCGCAAGGCCTGTGGCGGAAGCTGGGACCTGCCTTCTCCCTTTGTGGCGGTTTCTTTAACTCAGGGCACACCTTGGACTTCTGCCTGGCCCTGTACCTGGGCTGGAGGAGGGTCTCCCAGATCTCAGCACAGTGCAGACCCCTGCTCCCTGCTCACTTCCGGGACTCCGGGGCCTGTGCTCCCCCCACCCCACCGACATCAATTCCAAAGCTGGAGTTTCCGAGGTCACTGGGGTCTCCAAGCTCCCTTTCATATCCAGGCCGGGAGTCCCCGCTGCAGCACGGCAGGAGGGGTGGGAGGGAATGCCTGGGCCAGTGGGCCTTGAGGATGGTCTGGAGGGTGGGCCAGAGCCCCCACCCCTGGCTCATGACTGTGACTGTGCCCAGGCCCCAGCCAGACCCCTCTCCCTGGCCTACCTGCCTGCTCCAGGCCAGGCTGGGCAAATGGGGGGCTCCCTGACACTGTGGCGCCTTGTCCCTCGCACCCGGGGGGAGGGGTGTGCCTGCTGCCTGGGCCTCTACTGCAGACGTCCCCACGACACACCCACCTGGGTCTCCCACCTTGGCCACTAGCCCTCATGGCCTCCCCACTCCGTGCCCGCGGCTCCAGCTCACAAGCTGATGCCCACCTGGGTGCTGGGGCCAAGCCTGGGGTCTCCCCTGGTTGCCCCTACTACCTGTCCCCTGCCCTCCCTGACCACGGCCCGTGCCTGCGGCATTCATGGGGGCTGGCGGCCCACTGGGGAGCAGTCCCCTCACCCCCAGCTCCAGCATGCCGGGCACCTCTGCATCAGCGAGATAGCGTTTTCTCCGTGGCAGAGCTGGGACCCTCAGCAGCTCCCCCGTCCCAGCTCAGTGCCTGTGGTCCAACCCTCCCCGCCTCCACCCTGGAAGAGCCTCGCCCGCCTGTGGCCACTGGCACGCAGTGACACCAAACAAGTGGGGGCCCTGACTCTGTCTTCGTCCCTCCCACTAGGCACCTCCCCGGGCAGTGCCTCCCACTAGGCTGTCCTCCCTTGGGGACTGGGCTGGGTCCGGGGCAGGGGTCCGAGGTGGACGTCAAGGCCACAGCTATTGAGACATCCCGGATGCGGCCCCGGGAGTCCGGCCTGTTTGCTCAGTGTGTTTGAAGAGTTTGCGTCTTCACAGTTGAAGGCGCTGAAAACAGGAGATAAAGGAAGGAAAGGGACGCAGCCGGTTCCTGCCGGGAAGGGGGGCCGGGCACAGCCTCCTGGAGCGCAGAGGAGCCTCCCGCCTCGGACGTGCCAAGAACCTGCCCTGCGGCTCTGACGGGGTCTGAGCCAGGACCAGCCCTGGGCGGGTCACTGTCCATCATCTGGCCAGGGGGTAGTGGGGACAAAGGGGCGGCCTGGGTGACACGGAACCCAAGGAGGATTAATCCCACCATGAATGAGGACCCGCCTGGGACCCCACAGACCCCTCCAGAGGCCGTCCAGGCACCAGTGGTCAGAGCCACCATCTGCTCTCACCAGCTGTCCCAAGCCCAGCCCCTCAGCCCTGGGGGGCCACCTGGGGGGCTTGGCCGCCGCAAAGAGTCGTCCCTGGGGCTGGGTCCCCATGTGGCTCAGCCTTCCCCTCCCCCAACCACAGCGATGCAGGTTTGAGCTGGGCCCTAGCGTCCATCAGCTCCCAGGCACTGAGCCAGACCCTAGGGTCCGTCAGCTCCCAGGCACTGAGCCGGGCCCCAGCTCCACGCTGGACACCTGGGGTGTCAGGCACAGTCCAGGGGGTCACAAAGCAGGGATGGACTCTTGGTCTGCTCAGAGCCAGGCCCCAGGCTGTGCTGGGGACAGGGGGTGGTGGCTGTGTGGGACTCTCCACCTCGGCAGCCTCCTGCTCCCTGGCACGGGGGCCTCCCACGGCTCCTGGCCACACCCACGCTCCTGGGGGCGCACCTGCTGATAGGCCGAGGGTCCCAGTGTGTTCCAGGCCTCGGGGCCCCTGGCAGGTGACGGGCTGCTTGCTCCTGGGTATTGGGATGGCCAGGCCCCTGTCCCCTGGCCCAGTACACCTGAGGAGGTGTCCAGCAAAGCCCAGGGGTCTCAGAACCAGTGCCTGGTGTCCAGAAGCAGCAGGTGGGGGCACATTGGGTCTTCATGGCCCTCAGACCCTGGCCCACTGAGCGACAGGCACAACTGGGGGCGCTGAATCACCTGGCAGGAAGTGAAGCTGAGGGATGGCAGGACCTGGACATTCCAGTGCCCTGAGCTGCCCCTGCTCTAAGGATGCCCTGCACAGGGGCTGCAAGACACGGAGACCCCCCCAGGACGGCCCCTGCCCTGTGTGAAGGCCTCGGCTCCCCCACCACCTGTCTCTGGTTTCTCCTGGTCTTTGCACAGACCCCCTTCTCTGCCTGTCTCCCCACCCGCTTCATTCCTGCCAGTTCCGAGGAGCCCCAGCTGGGTCCTGGTGCTGCCCTGGGCAGTGGGATTTGACAAGGACTAGAACAGAGTCCCCCCCCACTTCGAGGCTTCCAGTAGCTTGGCCTTTGCAGCAGCAGCACCAGCTTCCAAGGAAAGAGAGAGGATGGTCCTCTGGGTGGGGTGGGGGGGATGACGGCTGAGCTGCAAACCAGGGAACAGCAGGTGCAGAGACCCCGGCGCAGGGATGGACTCGGCCCCCTGGAGGGTCCACATGCACCTGGTGTGGCTGGGACACAGGGGGCTGAGAGGAGCAAGAGGTGAGGGCAGGGTCAGGTGTGGGGAGGAGCCTGGGGGCGTGGGGCGAATTGATTGGATCATTTAAAGCGGGAAAGCTATAGGGCATTTTTCTAAAACAGTGGTGAAATGTATGTGACTTAACATTGATCATTTTAGCCTTGTTTGTTTGTTTGTTTGTTTGTTTGTTTATTGTAGAGACGAGGTCTCACTCTGTTGCCCAGGCTGTCATGAACTTCCAGCCTCAAGCGATCCTCCCACCTCAGCCTCCCAAGGTGCTGGGATGACAGGAGTCAGCCACCACACAACCCAATTTGCAGGTTTTTTTGTTTTGTTTTTTTTTTTTGAGATGGAGTCTTGTTCTGTCGCCCAGGCTGGAGTG